GATCCTTGAGGGGGTCTGGGTAGGGCATCTAAACTCTTGCAACTTCTGGGAATCAAGAAGCTAAGCAGGTAAGGTACAAGTGTAAGATGTGTGTTAAAACCATATGAGCCATACTCTAAACTCCTAATATCCCCCTTCATAGGCTCTTTATACTCCCCTATACAATCCGCTATATAACTTCCCTTTCAGGAGTTTAGACTATACCTCACATAGCTCTCGTGGGCCCGAGCAAGTTGGTCCCTTTGCGCAGGAGGCCCTCCAGGTCACCCGGTAGCAAATGCGGGGTTTAGGGGTTTAGGGGCTTCGGGAGATTTACCCAAAATCTGTACTACAATCACTATGTACCCAAATCCTAAGTACCTAGTTATTGGGTACTTGGGATCGACTCCGAATACGTGCCACCATAATCGGCCACCAAGTCCATCTCATAGGTCTCCGTATGAGATAGGGCTTGCGGTTAGGGTTTAGGGTCCCCCTTAAGTAGATAGAATATGGGGTATATGGGGATCTTATTATAATATACCCAAAGCGTCCCAAAGCCATATTCTATCTACTGAAGGGGGACTATAGGGGTATGCAAATCCATCATGCTCTCCGTAACCTTCTTGCTTTTGCTCCGACATTCCTCCTGAAAGGCAGCGAGCGTTCTGGCCTTGCTGCTTGCCTTTACTTTTCCTGTTTTTGCCTTGTTCTCCTTGCTCCCATTCCCTGAACCCTGATTCTCATACCTGGGCTTCAAAAGCTGAAACCCCCTAGACCTGAAACCCTGAACTTCCAATCCTGAACCTGAAGCCTTGCCTTGAGCTTCTAAATCAGTGATAGTTGATCAATTCAATTCACCAACTCTCTGGGGGATGCTATACAAAAGGACTGGTCAAGAGATCCTCTCGCGCATTTTCCTACCAGATAACGTGGTGTCCGCTGGAAGATGGATGTTCTAGGATATCCTTGAGAGAACTTCTAGACTCTAAAAATTAAACCCAACAAAACTAAACTCTAATCTTCCAAAGCCCAATCCCAAAATCGTGTCCAGGGTTTAAGTTTACCGGCTTCCCTTGCGAGTGTAGGTGTACGGGCTTCAAGGCGGCTCCAGCAGGTTAACTAACTCAGAAGAACGCATGTGCTGTAGGTCTTGTTGCCTTGATGGGAAGTTTGTTTCATTCCTCTGGCTCTTAATTGAAGTTACTGTATTAGGGAAACCATATCACATACTAATATATACCCATTATGGTCACTTAATTTAAGTTTCTGTGGTTACCTACCTTTCTGGGTCCAACTAGTTCTACAAAGGTGAGAACCCTAAACCCAGAAGCTGCTTTTAGGCCTCTAGTGTGACAGATTCCCCTGCTTCACCCCTCTATACAAACCCACCTTGGGTTTAGGGTTAAGGGTTGAACCCATGATAATGCATCATAGCTAGGTAGGTAAAGCTCAACACCCGACAAACCACCGCATAATCCCAATTCCATTTCGTTTTCCATTCCCCTTGTCCGTTTGATGACCTTAACCCTAATCCCTAAACCCCAAATAACCTCAGTTCAGTAACATTCACGGCGCTCGCAATAGGGGTAAAGTCTTCAGGTTCAGGGCTGAGGGCTTATTGAGCGATGTTCAAGCACTCAAGGATACACGGCTCAGGACCAAGGTTTAGGGTACAGGGTATGCAGTTTAGGGTTAATGTTTAGGAGGGAATTGTGTGGGGCGATGGTTCAAGCACTGACCACAACACGAACTCCAGAATTGCACCCACAGCAGAAACTTGTCTCGAGCCCCTAGCCCAAACCTTCTGCCCAAAGCCCTTTTCGGTCTAGGGTTGAGGGTTTAGGATTTAGGGTTTGAGGACCTTAAAGACAAAATTGATCTCAGGATTGGCACTTTTGAACAAGACTGTGTTCTTGATAAGATCCCTGTTGGAGTTCTAGGTTGGTTCTGGGGAAGTCTAAACCCCAAATCCTACACATCCGTAGAGGAGCTTAAGAGTAAGAAAGGTCTAGGGTTGGGGGTTCTAGATACAAAGCTTTTTCTATGTATTTGCACACCGAGTGCCTTGGGATCCCACCTTAGCCCTAAACCCTGAACCCTAAGCAATACTGTTGATGGAGGAAATCTTGCACCACCTTAGGTCCCTAAAGTCCTAGGAATTACAGTAGTTTAGGACCGCTAGGTGGTGCAAGATTTCATC